TTGTGGCAGGTCTGGAGGATGAATTCCTCGGTGATCGGGAGGTTGTTGTGGCAGGTTTGGAGGATGAATTCCTCGGTGATCGGGTCCCGACAATTCATCGCCTTGTTCCGGAACCTTTTGACGAAGGTGTCGACTAACTCCCCGTCTTTCTGCTTCTCGTCGAGCAACGATCCGATAGAGATCTCGGTGTCGTCGTCGAAGAAATTTGCAAGGAACTTCGTCTCCATGTCATCCCAGCTGTTCACGCTTCCTGGCTTGAGGCGACGATACCAATCGAAGGCGGCTCCGCGAAGAGTGCCGACGAATGACCGCACCATCAGAGGCTCATTACCAGAGATCACCCCCAAATGCGATTTGAAGTAAATCAAATGCTGGGTAGGTGAACCCATCCCATTAAACGGCGTGAAGTTAATTAGATTAAACTTCGCCGGATATGGGATCGATTCCCATTCTCTTGGGTATGGGCAAGGAATGCCTGTTTTCTTCGTCTCTTGCAATGCTTGGATTTGTTGGTCATGCATTTCTCTCATGTTCTGCATGGTCATCTGCATCTCGAACCTGAAAGTTTCCTGCTGCTTAGCCAAAGCGTCTTCAATCATCTTGGCAATTTGCTCCGCACCTATCATAAGCGCCTCGCGGGGTTGTCCCTCGCTGGATACCGTATTATCTGTGCATGGTCATCTGCATCTCGAACCTGAAAGTTTCCTGTTGCTTAGCCAAAGCGTCTTCAATCATCTTGGAAATTTGCTCCGCACCTATCATAAGCGCCTCGCGGGGTCGTCCCTCGCTGGATACCGTATTATCTGATGCGACTGCGGAGCCGGCATCAGATTCTTCATCTTCTGAAGGGCGTCTTGTCCGAACCCTACCATAGGTTGCTCGCTCTATGGTTCCGGACTGCAGACGGGTTCTAGGCCGGGAGGCTCTCAGAATTGACTCGAAATCATCCTGTGCCGATGTCCCCTTGCTGGTCATGTTGGTGGTGACCCTCGGAAATTCTCTGTCTTCAATCATTCTTCTTCTTCGTTGAAAACGCCTAGGCCGGGGTTTTGGCGTCTCCGCACTGAGTCTTTCAAAAACTGAAACTCTTTCGGGGACCGCCTTGATGCAGTTGCATTCAGACAATACCGCCCGAATGAGTTTGAAACAGGGACATTGAATTTCCTGTTCTCGGGGACTCCTCTTCCTGGTTCTATTCGTACCCCCGGCACGATAGTACAACTCGTTATTTTGACAGTCGGAGTAACCTATCGTGTGCGGGCACGACTTCTCAGGTATAACACTATCACTATCAGATGATAATGTTTCCATCTGAGGTTGGATTGCCTTCTTTGGGCTTTCAAAAGTTACACGCCTCGAAACGTGCCTTTGTGGGCGCGAGTCTTCATGCTCTTGGACTTCGATGCGCAAATTGGTGCGCGCAGTTGCCTTGAGCTCTTTGTCATACTGGAGGTGACGGCGACCCCCAACGTGTTGAGTCGTTATGGGCTTCCTCATTGGGCCCAAACGCTCGTGAACTGGAATTTTGCCTCTCTCGTCAGGAACTGGACCGAGGTGCTCCAAAACTGGCTTCCTCCTTCGGGATGATTCTGCATGATCTCCCGGAGTGGCCATAGGAATTAACGGCGACTTTGGTTGACTCGCCGGAGTTTGACCTTGCTTAGAAGGCTGCGATGGTTGCTTTTTGGCCTGAGTCGCCACTTCAGACTTCGGCTTCCAGACTTGGCGGGTTGGTGGTGGCTTCTTTGTCACCTCCTTTTGCAGTCTTCTAGGGCTTCTTCAGCTTTGGCCCGTACTTGCGCCGATAATACGCGGCGCTTGCGGATACGCTCCTCCAGCGTCGTACGGTTCCGTTTGACCCGGACCCACTCCATCATTGATGGCTTGGAGGAACCATTCTTCACTTGATGTTGAGGCTGTTTGCCTCGTTTGTTCTTCAGATCCGCATTGTAGCGGATCCCGTCAACGGACTCCATGGCCTTGGCGAATTGCTTCGCGAGGCGTTGACGCTGCCTCTGGCGAGCTCTCTTAGAGAGAGTCACCACACCTTCGATGGCGGATTTGACCTGCTTAGAGGCCGATGGGACTTCACCCGACGCAACTTCAGCGTCGATCGGGGTGAAGTTGTCGTTGGTGGCTTCAACTTCTTCGCACCAACGGACTTTTCTCCTAGAGGAGGACTTCTGGAATTTCTTGGACTTACGGGGGGAGGTTGATCCAGATGAGGACACGTACTCCTCGTACTTCTGCTGGTCGAACTCATACTCGACCTCCTCCACGACCGGGATCGAGATCCGCGGCTGCGACGCTCCGAGTTGTTTGCCTGCGCCGGGGTTGTTTGCCGTGGACCACCGCGCGATCTAGATCCGGACAGATCTACGTAGTATAACGGGTATTATTTCACCAAGGAAATAATAGCCGGAGGGATTATTTCACCAAGGAAACAATCGCTCGAATCTCGGGATCAAAGACCAAGCTTTGATCCGGAGTGTAACAACGTAGATCTGAGATCTGGATCCCCTCGAACTCCTGCCTTTTTTGTGATGCGGGTGCTCGCTGAGAATCAGATCCGAACGTCCAAGTCTTCAAGCCTTCAAGAACTCCAAGATGAGATCTCAATCCGGTAGAGTTTCGGCTCTCCAAAAGTTCTTCCAAAAGTCCTCCTAAATGATGAATGACCTCGCCTATTTATAGCGGCCACCGAGCCACCCTAGGGTGGCTCGGCCTTGGCCGAGCCACCCCAGGGTGGCTCGGCTTTGGCCGAGCCACTCCGGGCTGTGCGTCCGTCTTTCGGTTATTTCGGTCCTTGTATCCGCTTCGTCCGTGATTCGGTTATGCGGTTGATTGGTCTGAAATCTATTTGTTGACTTGATTCCTGATTTGGCAATGAATCCGACTCTGAGTTTGATTCCAAACTGATCATGACTCGATCGTGATTCATCCGGGTTCGCCTGTGGCGTTGCTCTGAACCCCGATTAGGCAGTAAATCGACTTTGGTGTCGTGGACTGACGTTCGTGCTTAGATACGTCGCCCGATGGCTCATTAGTTCGTGTTGAGCCGTGTTAAGGGACCTATAAGCAATTTTATATGCCTACAACAGATGCGTATGCAATCTAAAAATAAATAATAACCTTCCTTTGGGCCGATTAAATATTTACACGAAAACATACACACAAACATCTAACATCCCTCATGAACAATCTACACAAGAGAGGTTACTTTGGCAACTTCTTGTTTCAATCGATCATTTAGAATGAAAGACAACTTTAATACCTTAGTGTCATATTATTTGAAATAACTAATTGATCCACTACCAAATTTAATTTAAATTAAATAATTTAATTTAAATCAACTGAATTTCCATAGCTTAATTAAGGGCCCATAATGAATTATGACCCACAAATAGGATTTAATTGATAAATTCAATTAATCCTTGTGCCCAAAATGAGCTTAAAGGAGCTTATACCCGATAATTAAACACAGGTCCAAAATCTTAATAAAATTCTCAAGTCAAGGCCAATGTTTAAACAAGTTCCAAAGATTAAACAAAGCCCAGATTATTTGGTCTGTGCTCTAACTTTAACGAGTTCTACAATATACTCGTTGTGAATGAATGAACGCAATGAACGAACGAACGCAATGTACGTTTGAACGCAATGAACGAATGAACGCAATGTACGTTTGAACGCAATGTTCGTTTGAGAACGAACGCAGCGTCAACGAACGCAGCGTTTGACGAACGCAGCGTTTGACGAACGCATGTTTCATTAGAGAACGAACGTGGGTTCGTTTGAGAACGAACGTGGGTTCGTTTGAGAACGAACGCAAGGTTCGTTTGAAGCTTTCAAGCCTCGCCAAAAATTGAGGTAACCACCTCCTTAATTTTAGCACGTTTTCTCGCCAAAAATTGAGGTAAGCACCTTCTTAATTTTAGCAAGTTTTCTCGCCAAAAATTGAGGTAACCACCTCCTTAATTTTAGCAAGTTTTCTCGCCAAAAATTGAGGTAACCACCTCCTTAATTTTAGCATGTTTTCACGTGCACGAACCCCTTGAGGGTTTAATATGAAACCGCCGCCGCTGAATCAACTCCGACGAGGAGTTTTGGAGATTGACGACAAATCAAAAAATCCCCAAAAAAAAAAGATAATTATTTTTTTTTCTGTCGATATTTGAACTCAAATCATTTAGATCCAAACCTCAAAAATTGAATCAAACACAAAAGAAATGAACTTTAGAGTTCATAAATGCTACAGATCCAAAAATCGAAAGAAAAAACCAAACAACATGAGAATTTTACTATTCATCCGAAAATAAAAATCTTTACTGTTCATCCAAAAATAAAAAACTTTACTGTTCATCCATGAACAGATCCGAATCAAACACAAATTAAGATCAAAGAACCCTAATTTTAATCTTAATCTCTTAGAACAAATCAATGGTGGCTCTGATACCACTTGTTAGATTTAATAAAAAAACTTGAGATCTAAACCATAAAACCATGATTTAATTCAAAGAGATTAACAAGAATCAAAAGGTGCGGAAGCATATACCTGAATCCATTGAAGAAAACTTGATTAGGGTTTTGATGATCTTCTAACCTTAGGGTTTCTCTCTTATGGATCTCTTTAGATGGGGATAAGAGAATGAGAGTGGTTAACCCTAGATTAGGGACCATAACCCATTATATATAGGTGTTGTACATTTGTAATTTGACCCCTCATCAAATTACAATTACAACCTGGTATCTGCACATATAACCTCATGATATATTTAAATACCTATTAACCCAAATTGATTGATCACTTTAAGTGGGTTATCCTTAAAGATAGTAATACACATTGATTAATCATATGTACCCACAAATAGATTTAATTAGATTTAAATCCAACAATAAGTTCAAGTGAAGATATACATAAGGAGGTTTGTCTGCAATTTACCCAAATATACACAAATATGCGCATGCATAACACATACTTGTTCAGATAATGTCCTTCACAGTTCACACAAACCCATCCCCTTTCATTAATGAGATGATAGTGAGTGCACCCATAGCTCCAATATAAAACAATACATCCATAAATACAAAGACAAAAAGGGTAAAGGACAAAAAGAAATTATTCAGCAACATGACAACAGAATAAAGTATAAACACCACCATCTTAAAAAAAAAAAACAAGTATTGATCAATGTCCACCAAAACATGTAAACAGAAAAAAATTATATGTCCAAGTAAGAATCATTCAGATGGAAAGCCGAGGAACTCATTGATAAGCTTAACAACAGGCATTGCATCCCCTGGTGGATAAGGAAGAAGAGACTCCAAATCCATGGTTTCAATGGTTTGATGAAGGGTTTGAGGACGAGCGCAAAATAAATGCTTTCTCTCTGCCAATTCTTCAGCTAGTTCGCTCTGATGGTTATCCATCAAGTCCTCGTCAAAATAAATGCTTTCTCTCTGCCAATTCTTCAGCTAGTTCGCTCTGATGGTTATCCATCAAGTCCTCGTTGACAACTACGATGAGGGGTTTACAATTCTTCAGCTAGTTCGCTCTGATGGTTATCCATCAAGTCCTCGTTGACAACTACGATGAGGGGTTTACCCACCCGTAGGCTTTCAAATATGCTCCCTGAACCTGCACATTAGTAGTTTATGTGGTATTGTTTATTTCTTTGAAGAAGCTACAAAAATGGTAAAATATTTAGAGAAATTTGTGATTTAGGGAAGATTTCTGAGAAATAATAATTATTAAGTAATCATGCAAGGTGCAAAAAGTAGCAGTATCTGTTGCATCTAGACAATTTTTATGTCATATGACCTATATATTTCTAGATCTTTACACATTCATCTCATATCTAATATGTATTCATATCCATTTTCCTCATCTGCTCCATATGCATGGTCAAAATTGGTAGATATGATTGGATTTGCTTTTAGTAAATATACGTAAATATACTTGTATCGTTATTTATGATTAGAAAATGATATGGATACTGTAAGTGTCATGTTCGATTTGTTTGCACGCAACACATACACGCAAGTAACCAACCCAAGAAAACAAAATGGAAGACCCTTCCTCTCACCATTCATAATCATTTTTTCCCCACTACTTTTACATAATTTGCTATTTTGAGTTAGCTTTTCACCCACTAAATTTGAACATGACATCACTTCTTCTGTGTATTTATCCAGCCACCAAAATTATGAATATATTTACTCTCACATACTGAAATTGAAGAATGAATGGCAATTTTAATGGGCTTTGTGATCCTATGAGATCTGAGGTTTAAGATTTTTCAATTCACTAAATCAGTTGGATAGTCAATCAGATTTATCTTCAATGTCCTGGCCTCACAATGTATAGTCATGCTATTGCCCCTTTGTTATGGTACTCGTATCTTATAGACATCAGGGCACTAATATAGTCATGAGGCTAGATTTTGATCAAGAGGTCTGATGAGCAAGTATTAGTTCATTTCAGAAGGAAACACACAATTACTCAGGATTTCACGGCTTCAAGCACATACTTGACTGAAGAAAAGCTGCAGATGAGGTTTCATAAAACACTGCCAGTAGCTCTTAGAAATTTGACTTTTGACCTCTCATGCGATTTTGTTTTTACTGACTAAAATTTCAAACTTTCAAGGGACATGTTACGGTTTCAAACCACTTGTAAAGCCATAAACAAATTTGAAGAGTGAATTGTTTATCTTTTATACTAGAATGGTTACTTTCTTATAATACTAGGAAAAGGTAAGGTACAAATATTTTTATTTTGACAATTAAAAACTTGTCTCTAGATCATAGTTTTCAGCGCCATATTTGAGGTAAAATGCATATAAGAATTCACTGATTTATAAAAGAGAACTGATAGTAGAAGAAGACCATAATAACATATACAGAGGAATATATGTACTAGTTCTCGAAAATTATCTCAAAAATTTATTGAGACAATTACCAATAAGAAGCACTGCTTGATTGTAAAAAACAATGAGTATAAGAAGTTCTGGCACACAATATTACCTGCATGACTGATGATTAAAGAAGCAGACTTCATGTAGTCAGCAATACTTGGTGAGAAAGTGAAGTGATCTACAGAAAGAGATCCATCATCTCCTGAAATCTATAGTATGAGTTTATGAGAAACAGCATTTTGTTTTCACTGTCACAAAGAGGACAACTTACAACAGGAGTTCAATGATTTATGCCAGGGACTTATATGCACCCTCCATGGTAAGAAAGAAAAAATATGATTATATAAACAATGCTAAGTTGCATCAGTTTTCTTTAACAATCAATATTAATATAAGAGGCCAAGACTGCAGAGGCTGACCTATGCTTGGCTATTAACATAATCATGGGAACAATTTTTTCTTATAAGGTATGATTGAAGATAAATGCTCATCGGCTTGGCTATTAACATAATCATGGGAACAATTTTTTCTTATAAGGTATGATTGAAGATAAATGCTCATCGAACATGTGAAGACTAGAAAACTGAAAATATTCAAGCATTACATGAACAATAAAGTATGTCTTCTCTGAGCATATGTGAAGCTAACCAATAGTAACTATAGCGTTTGCCCAAGATACAAATTGACACCATTATATAAATATAGTTCCTTACTGATGGATCCCCTGTAGCGTCACCCAATTGCTGATGGACCCCTGTAGGGTCACCCAATTATGGATAGACGCCTTGTTCTTCTTAATTGTGTAGATAGACCCTCTACGTTAATTTCTTTTGACTCTTTTAAGAGTCCAAAAAGTTTTGTAGAGGAGGATAGACCCCATGTGGTACTATTGGTGAGGACATAACACCCAAATGCTATTTTCCTTAACTCTTAAAAAAATCATTGTGAGGATCTATCTGCAAATAGTACGAGGGCTCTCTCTGCAAGTGGGTGCTACTACAGGGGGTATATCTGCAATTCGGTGCTACCATAGGGGGTCCATCTGCAAATAGTACGAGGGCTCTCTCTGCAATTGGGTGCTACTACAAGGGTTACCCATATAAATATATTATGTATACAGCAATGAACTTTTTCTTTCTAATACTAATCTAGTTATGAAATTGAAATACATCATAAGAGTCTGCAGAGGAGGAAAAGCTGACACCTTCGAGGGAAAATAAGATCCCCGACCCATTTGAATCAGAAGGTCGGTGTAGCCTTTTCGAAATAACACCTCTTTTACTTCGCCGGAGTCTACTGCTTTAACAAGAGCATCAAAACATGTGGTTCCAACCGTCACAAACACGGTTTTCTTTGCTCTCCCATTTTCTCCGCCTTCACCCATTTCGTCCAGTTATATGCTAGTTGTTTTCTTTAAAAGATCGACTAAATGAGTAAGATTGACCTGCAAGAAACATGTAACAAAATAAGTGAGAAATTAAGGAGTTATGAATATAGTTTATTACTAAATTAGGTATTGTGCTATATGTATAATAAATCAAGGATATACTTACAAAGAGTTTTAATGACTCCAATTTTGATAATACTCCATTTTCATTTCAGCAATGGTGATCTATGATTCCAACACATAATAGAAAAAAAATTTGTGCAACAAGGACAACAATTGTTCATCGTAATAGCTTGAAAGATAAAGATAGCATTGTTCTCACATATAACCAAATTGTTTAGAAGCAAATTCATCAGAGAAACTTAAAAAAAAAATTGATCCAATTGGATTATAGTTCTTAGAAGCAATATATAACCTAAAATTAAAAACTAACAAATTGATTTAATCATGAAATTGATTGAAGACATATATTTAGACTAATAAGCAAACAGAATATGAATCAATACAAACACAACCCAAAGTAGATGGACTGTGAAAATAGGAGTAACAAAAAATTATGAAAAATATTGGCAACTTTCCTAATATTCAGCTTGACCCATGTCTCAAATGAACTCCTAGGTAAAACCCATTAAAAATCTCAAGAAAAAGAGAAGGGAAGGGATCTAAAATATCATCATAGCAATAAAAAGAACTTGAAATTAAGGGAAATTGCTTTGAAAAGAGAAAAGTTACCTTCTTTTTGTGAAAGCGAGTCTCTCTGATACGGGTGTATCTTCTCATCGGAACTTAGCGATCCTCATGGGAGCTTGAGGATAGATGATTCTCATGATAGCATGAGAATAGAGGTGTCAAACAGCACAAGGGAACGCAGGAGGAAGCATGGAACGAGACGACGAGCAGAAGAATCGAAGTATTCAGTTTTCAGCATGTGAGTCGACTCATAACAGTCATGAGTCGACTCATCAGGTTGAGTCGACTCATGACTGTCATGAGTCGACTCATCGCTGGTTTTTGAGTTTTGTCTAGTTTCGGACGAGTCGACTCATCTCAGTCATGAGTCGACTCATCGATGGTTTCCTGGTTCGTTTGGGTTTCTGTTCACACGAATTCTTGTTGGTTTTGAGTCTGGTTATTTACCAAATTACCATCCACGTTTGTACACCTATATAAAGGATTGTTTTAGGGTTTTTAAAGAATCAGAGAGGTAATTAAGAGAGATTCTAATCATTGTATTAGGGTTTAGTGAGAATTGAGAGTTTGTTCTCGATTCTAGTGAGATTGTGAGAGAGGGATTGTAATCTTTTCATACTCATAATCTAGAGAAGGTAATTTCCTTCGTCATATACTGAATTGTGCTTGTGTTTCTGTCATCCTCTTCTCAACCCACTTTTGATAATTCCGCGATCAAAGGTGCTCGCACGGCAACTTGTATCACTCTCCCCTCTGCAGGTGTTCTATCTGGAGGCAAGCTTTCGGGTCGGATCCAGATCCAGCATTACCTAATAGTTGTTGAGTTTGGGCTTTAGTTCTTACCGGGCAGATACCCAACATTAGCATTTGTATACCATCAGAAAAAAAGACAATAATATAGAAATGCCACTATTCAGCCCATATTTGCACAGTTTATACCCCTATTTCCCTGAAATTAAAATGGAAAAACTTTTTTCTTCAAGGTATCATGTGCAAAAATCTCTACAGACAAATATAGGCATTGACTATTTCACTATTTAAGAAATGCAGCAGGTTTCCGTAAGGTTGCGTTTGGGAAGTGGAATTTGGATTTCATGCCTATAATCGAAATCAATAGATCTTAAATCTAAGATTTCAAATCCATGGTTTTAGTAAATCATGTGTTTGGATACTTTGCCAGATGAAGGGATTTTAAATCCTACATTTCGATCTATTTGCTGATAGACTAATTATATCCAAAATCAATTAATATGGGTTTGTTTGATCCTTCCGTTTTCTTGTTCATTTTTAAACAACTTCAAAGTAATTGTCCGTTCTTCACCCCAGGTAGAATTTCCACTAATCACGGAAAGTTTGTAATTAAAAAAGCACAAGGAAAAAAGAATATGGGCACATTTAGAAAGACATCATTCTGTTCTCCGTTGATATAAACAAAATGCTGGAGATATGATCATACATTCATAAGAATAAAAGTGACTTTGATTCTTAATTACATACATGAACAAAGTCAATAAGGTTTCATAAAGATTATTATTATTAAAGTATAACACTCACAAAATGTCAAGAAAAGAGGTGATTCTACATGGATAAGATTCCATCAAACAAAATAATCGAACAATACAGATAGCATGCTAAATTTAGCCACAAGCTCAAACTACCGTTTTAAAACCATTTATCTTCCAAATTTGCTCCTTTCAGAATTATTAAACCCCTAAAAATTCCAAATCTTGGCAAAATTACAATACTCCGCATAAGAAAAATCCCCAACTTTGTCAAAAATTAAACAACTCATATCGTCGACCACAAGCATGAAGATGATACAAGCTCTCCAAACGCCACCAACAGATTACCTGGTATATACACAAACCTCGATTCAGATGCCCTCGAGTATTATGGAAGATCAAGGGTGCAACGCTCGAGCATGGACCGCCTCTTGAAGCCTCTTGAGATTGAGAGTTCAAAGCGGTGGTTCATGGCGGCGAACGACAGGAGACAAAGGAAAGAGGGGGGATAGGTCGCCGGAGAAGAGGGGCCGGAGTCGTCAGAGACGAGGCGTTGGCTGGAGGTGGCGATCGACTCGGTCTAGGGTTTGTGAGAGAGAGAGAGAGAAAGAGAGAGAGAGTCGGGATTTTGAGGAGACAGAGATTGATTAGATGAAGGGGATGATTGGTTTTGATGAATCATGATGGTCAGGGGTGGGGAGTTCAAATCCATAATAATATTGCGCTTCAAAATCCACCTCTACAAAATTTAAAATCTAAAACCAAATTTGAAATCCAAGCTAGATATTCAGATTTGGACTGACCTGGATTTCAAATACGGGTCGAAATCTTAGTTCCCAAACATAGCCTAATATAATTTTGCAACAAAATGGTCATTTTGTTGTGAATCTACAACCAAATATTTAACTGATTAATAATGCAATATATATTTTTTTTGTATTTCTTCATAGGGTTTTATCTGTTTATCTCCTTTTCCTCCAAACTAACATTTTTTAACTACTTTCTTTTAAGAAAACTTATCATTTGATCACTTTTATGAATTAAAAGATTATTATTTAGATCACAAAAAATACAAGAATGCAAAATAACAATATCATGCCATTAATTTACTATCGCATTGGATATATATATATATATATATAGAGAGAGAGAGAGAGAGAGAGAAATATGGGTATGCTTGGTACCAAGCACAAAAAATTGTGCTTGGTAGTGAGGTGTCAAATCCCCCTCCACTCATTCAAATGTGAGAAAAAATTCACATGGGTAGTGAGTGGATGGGGATGTGACACATCACTACCAAGCATAAAATTTGTGTTTGGTACCAAGCATACTCATATTTCTCATATATAGAGAGAGAAATATGGGTATGCTTGGTACCAAGCACAAAAAGTTATGTTTAGTAGTGAGGTGTCAAATCCCCCTCCACTCATTCAAATGTGGGAACAAATTCACATGGGTAGTGAGTGGATGGGGATGTGACACATCACTATCAAGCACAAAATTTGTGCTTGGTACCAAGCATACCCATATTTCTCATATATAATATTATATATATAATATAGAGAGAGAGAGAGAGAAAATATGGAGAACTTGGCTACCAAGTTGCTTAAAACAACTGTAGTGATGTGGCCCTAATCTTGAGCCTACATCACACCTCGAAGATAGAGCCTCAACCACCCTTCACCACTCCTATGTAGATGTAGGATCAAGATTAGGCCACATCACTACCAAGTTGCTTGAAGCAACTTAGTACCAAGTTTCTCCATTTTTCTCATAATATATATATATATGAGAAATATGGTATGCTTTAATCCCAAGCACAAAGTTTGATAGCTTGCATAGCTATGTGTCACATCCCTCATCCGATCACTACCCATGTGATTTGTCCCACATTTGATATGAGTGGAGGCGGGACAACTTTTATGTGCTTGCGTACCAAGTGCATACCCATATTCTCTCTCTCTCTGCTCTCTCTCCTCGTCAATCTCTCTTCTCTCTCTCTCTTATATAATATATATATATATATATATACATATATATATATATATATATATATATATTATATATATATATATATATGAGATAATGAGCTATCATTCGTCAATGAGGGATTTCCCCCCGTTGACCTTTATGGGCACAAATCTCCACCTTCCTCATGAAAGTAGGAGAGAGGAGTCGTGAGTATGGGCCGGATTGCCATATAAGTGTCAGCGAAAAATCCCCTCCTGGACATAGAGACACTCATTAATCTCTCTCTATATATATATATATTATATTACTATAATGATATATATAGTATATATTATATATATATATAATATATATATATAATATATATATATATAGTAAGGATATATATATAATATTATATAAATATAATATATATACTAATAATATAATATACTATATGTACTCCGTGCCAAGCACGACCCACCGCCTCTTTTTTACCATTGCACTTGGAACATTCGTCATCTTAGTTTTAATTACATATTTTTATTGTACAATTAAAATTATAAAGCATATTAAATAATATGTTTAAACAAATTGTTATAGCATATATTAAACTATATGTTTAAACAAATTATGGTAAAAGAATATAAAATTATGGCATTTATATATCAGTTTATAAAATCCTGGACAATAATGATTTCCACTTTAATCACAAATATACCACAAGAAAATATGACGCATTGTTATAGTTGTCTAGTTGATTGTGTGAAATGAATGGGTACTTCAACATAATAAATGACCTATATGATGTGTATTTGCTTAAAATTTATATTTAATGACTACATGGTAATTACACAACTCAATATTATGGCAAGGGTATTTAGCAATCTGAATTCTTAGAAAATAGTCACATATGCATTTCCCTCTATAAACCTGCTATGAAGGAGTTGTGTGCATTAATACACCATCCTCACCAGTTTGTACGAATAGGGAAAAGAAAAGATGTAAAAAAGTGTGTAATACAGTGAGAGTTAAAATGCCTGATAGAATAGATGATGATACAAAATTAATTTGATAGGAAATTGTGCAATGAGAAATTCAATATATTCGCAAGTCATATGCATTTGTTACCAAATTATTTTCACCTTTCGTCTGCAACTCTGGTTAGTCCAAAATCGATTTGCATAAAACTGTGAGCGTATGATATAGAGCGATTGTCTTTTGGTCCAGGTGCACCACATTTCACTGCACTTGAAGGTATTGCAACTTTCAAAGCAATGCATATGACTTGCGAGTTGTATCTAAGGTACAATTTATGGTTATCAATTCACAAATATGTATTCTCATTTTGTAAGAAGTTTGAATTTGTGGACTCAATGTGTACATACAAAATAAGGTTAGATCTACTTGGAGCATTATAATCGAAAACAATATTCAAGCTAATAGAAACTCACAATATAACCATCAAAATTTGAAAAGCATCAAGCAAACACTCTCACGATTATATGGACAGATGAACTTGTTGCAAGCTCCAGGGAATTACCGAGTGCAAAATTGCTCTCATGCAGAAAGGTGGACCTATTCCACTTCAATGACTGATAATACTATAAGGTTAGTTCTGTATGAGGTCATTACTACTAATCTAATCAGCTCTCAGCCTTAGAATCTCCTTTATTCCTCTTCCTGAAATAAGACATGTATTCCTAGAAAACAGAAGCACAGAAGGCTACAATCACCAACTATTAGGAACTCTAAACCTATGATATATTCATAGACCACTAAATCTACCTCAAAGTCACTCTGCCACACATACACCCATATGTTAAGCTAGGCGATTATCAAGAGCAATCCACTAATCATATACTGCACATCCAAATTTGAATATTTTATCGTTGATACAAATTATTACAAATAATATCTGGGATGATTTACACGTTTTTTAAACATGAACCATATGCTATCAAAATCAATGTTTTAAACTATTCATAAAATAATTTTTTTTGCCACTTGATACATGGCTAAAACATGCTGCAGCCATTGAAAATTTTGTTTCTAAGTAGTCTCATCTGTATTAAATCACATCCACTTCTCAATTTGGAAACCCAAAATTTTGCATCTTGGATACTACCAATAGCTTCTAAGTAGCCAGTGTATTAACAACACATTCAAAGGTATACATTTTCAATTTGAAAATTCAGAAGTTCAATTTTTATGTAGAGTATTCACATGAATGCATGTGTGTGGTGTGTGCAAAGAAAATTACATGATACTGAATTCTATCTAAAAGATATTTGGCAGCAACATCTTGTCAGAAAGCTGTGTAAGAGTGTGAAGAAAATTACATAATACCACATTCCGTCTAAAAGATATTTGTCAGCAGCATCTTGTAAATTTATGAAAACGGACTTACATGCTATAGGTAGTGAGAGTCTACTTATCTACCCAGAATTGGGTGAGTCAATATTAACACTTTTTTCATATATGCAGAATAAAAAATCACCCATTACAGGCAATTGGAATTTTGATTAACCCATCTAAATTACAAACAATCCAGGAATAGAAAAAACAAAAGAGATTCTCACCTGCCCAAATGTAAGATCTAAACCTCTGCTGTAAAAGTCTATATATTTGAGCATGAACATTCCGCAGTCATACCTGTCCAGAAAAAAGCATTCATTTCATGCCTAACATAATAACTGCTCGAAAAAGAAGCTTAATAAACCAAAAGCAAGTTGAAAGGACAATGTACTACTGAAAAAAAGTATATCAGATGAGATAGAATATGTATGCAGTAGAATTTGTTAAATAATGCTTCCTCTAAGCTATGGCATGGTTTAAAATCAAATAGTTGCAAACACTAATTCAAGTAAAATGCTTATTAAAAAAAATAGTAGGCTGCATATAATATAATAACTGAGACAATCTAAATAATCTACTTTCTCGCGAGATCTTCCAGGCAATCGCAATGATTTTTCCTACTTTGGCTGACTTTCTAAAATTAGAGAACCTAGTAAGATCACAAAAAAAGCACACCACCATCAAAAAATCAAAGTCTCAACTTTCACCACCAACTGCGATCCTGAACTTACGATGATCATCCCATTCACCGCTCAAATCAAACACTTAATTCTATAAAAAATCTCAGCGTCACATCAAAACAATCAACATCAATTCTACCAAATCAAACCAAACAACTCACTCAAACCCTAGTTCAGCAATCTAATTGAAGACCCTAAGGCAATCCAAATCGAGAAAGCTCACCTCGAGCATCCGTACGGCGACGGCCTCAGAAGCGCCCGTGATGCTGATGAAGGTGTCGATCGCGTCCTGAGGTGGCCGCGTGGCGGTCGGAGAGGGGTGACGTGGCGGCCGAGGTGGTGATGGTGGTGGTGTAGTAGGAAATGAAGAGGGTCTTGCAGGGGCGGCCGGCGGAGGAGAGGAGCGGGAGGAGGGAGAGGATGACGAGGGCGGAGAGAAGAGAGAAAGAGGAGGAGGACGACGACCTTTTTTTTCTTTTTCTTTTTGGACAAAATTTCAAAACAGACCCTTTTGCGATTTTATTTCTAAAAAACGTGGGCTGGTTTTTACAAAAAAAGTTCCGAAACTTCACGGAAGTTGAACTCCCATGAAGTTTAGCAATTATTTAATTAAGCTGCTAAACTTCACAGGAGTTCAACTCCCGTGAAGTTCCACAACTCAATTTTTTTTTAACTAAGAAACTTCACGGGAGTTCAACTCCCGTGAAGTTTAGCAGCTATTTAATTAAGTTGTTAAACTTCACGGGAGTTGAACTCCCGTGAAGTTTCGGAACTTTTTTTGTAAAAAACGACCTGGTTTTAACGCTGAGGCTGAAACCAGGTCGGTTTTTACAAATAAAGAGGAAATGGATTGTTTTTTGGGAATAAAATCGCAAATGGGACGGTTTTGAAAATTTGTCCTTTTCTTTTTTGAGGTCGATGGGAGGAGGGGGGGTGGGGGGTGGATTTGGTTATTCATTTTTGGAGAGAGATCAGGGTTGGGGTTGCTATTCATTTTAGTTTTTTTATTGTTACTCTTTAGTAATAAAGAAGTAGATATTTATTTTAGGTTTTTTATTGTTCTTTTTTAGTAATAAAGAAGTAGATGAGGATCAGTGGTGGGGAGTTCAAATCCATAATAATATTGCGCTTCAAAATCCACCTCTATAAAATTATTTGATTTAAAATCTAAAACCAAATTTGAAATCCAAGCGAGATATTTAGATTTGGGCTGACCCGGATTTCAAATACGGGTCCAAACCTTAGTTCCCAAACATAACCTAATATAATTTTGCAACAAAATGACCATTTTGTTGTGAATCTACAACCAAATATTTAACTGATTAATAATGTAATAAAATTTTTTGTATTTCTTCATAGGGTTTTATCTGTTTATCTCCTTTTCCTCCAAACTAACATTTTTTAACTACTTTCTTTTATGCAAATTGTTACTTTAGGAGGCAATTTCGAGAGTTCACTTTAAGGAAGAAATGATCATTTCATCCAATGATTTTGTATCATATTTTCACTTATACGAGCGCATAACAAACAGTCTGTACTATTCACAGTCTCAATACAGCACCTCCAAGAGAACATTAATACCAGCTCTCAAGAAACACCCTCACTTTGTGAAATATATATTACAAACGCTCGTTGATGCAAGTATTGTCCCCTTAATTTACTCATCAGATCAATCTGAATCACCTCTACTTCTTCGACTCTTATGGCGTCGGTGCTGGCTCTTTTTCTTCTCTCTACTTTTCTTTCTTTCTGATCTTTCCTTCCTCGATCTCTTCTTCATCTTCTCCTTAGAACAATTTTTTTTCTTCGAGCTATCTGTATAATTAACTTCATCATCTGAAGACTCTTGAAGTTTTATGTATGATGGCTTCTCTGGACCAATAATTCGATTTTCCCACTCTTCTTTCTCTCTCGTCTCGGGGTGAACCAACGTTTTTCCAGCATCGCCATCTATGGAAGGATAGGGGCCAGGTTCATCCATCCTTGAGCCAATAGCACCTCGACCCCGTTTAGCCCTGAAATGTTGAAGCTATGGTTTTTAGTAAATAGCATTCAATTCGTTGCAGCCTTTTAACAGATTAGGATTTCAACAAATCAGATACAATTTAAATGATGCACTATGCCAGTTATCACAAAATTTGATGACCAACATCTATCCTATTTGCAGTGCAATCTCAGAAATGGGAAGGGTAGCTTTAAATCAACATCAAAGAATCAGATTTGGAGGGTAGATCTGTAAATAGGATAGGTGTAGAAGGATGTAGCTCAAAAAACTCAATATTTTAACTTTCACAACTAAAATAAAAGCATAAATCATTCTTTATCTAAAGTAATAAACTAACCTTATTTCATATCTGATGAAATCTAGGGACAAGAAGTTGACCTAAGAGAGCTTGGCTGTAAGGTAGTGGTTAGCTTAGTACAGGAGGTAACCCCTGACAGAGATGAAGGGAAGTATAACATTAATGTACCCAGCCCCAAAATTTTGGGAAAAAGGATGTGTTGTTGTGTTATATGTTACATACAAGCAAAGCCTCCATGTGATGCTCTACATGAATTCTTTTTCCCACATCCGGAATCATCCCTATTAACAATGTTACATTAAACGTTGGACGCTTCTAGGCGTCGGACTTGGCGCCCAGCGCTTAGTCGCCTAGGCGGACGCCTAAGCGGTTTCTGGACATTTTTTTCTTTCTTCATTTAAGTGGTGGTCGATGAGGTTTTGCTGAAGGTCGGAGGAGGTAGTGAAGGTGTTCATATTTGAAGGTTAATGGAGTTTGGAGGACGTGTAGGCTACGACACATAAAATCACAATCAAGGCCTACAAGGTGCAATCCACGTAAGCAGATAATGCTCCTCTAAACGCTTGTAAAATCTAGATGGCCAGCCTAAATACCGTCTAGGCGCTAGGCGCTAGTTAGGCGGCTTAGGTACCGTTTAGGCCTAGGCGTACGCCTAAGCGGACTAGGCGGAGGTTTTTTAAAACAGTGCCTATTAAGGACATCCCCTTTTAGAGCAAGAAAAGGCATTTTTTCCTGGCTTATCAAACTCTAATTTTCATGCAACTTAAGAGAAAAAATTAAACCTACACGGCAAAATGTTACCTTGAGAGGAGAAACTCTTCCACTTCGTCATCTCTCAGACCACCATCCTCGCTTGAGTAACAAGCATGAGCACCATGACGAAGGTTGCTTGCTGAACGTAAGGCGGAGCTTGTACAGGCTTCTTCATGCCTTGAACTGGAAGAAACCCTTTTACGGGAGTTGCCACAGCTCCTCTCATTATTGTGTATATCGTTGTTTCTTGCTCTATTCTTTAGCTTCATATCGAGCTCCATTTCCTTCTCCCGAGCATGCCACATTTCGTTCACTTCCACTGCTCTATTTGCTGATTGAAAAAGAAGGAAATCAGTGACAAACAGGATCAGAAGCCAGGAAATATGCAGTATGTAGGGTTGTCATGAAGGAAATATCATTAGTACAAGTAACAACTTTGGTTTATATAAGTTCATTCCATTTTATTGTCTCCCTTTCCTTCATGACAACCCTACATACTGCATTGCTTGCCAGTTGAGTTGCATCATGAACAAAAAAGAAACAAGCATCATAAAACATTAAGACACATGGATGAGAACAGGGGCCAGAGGTACGATATGAACACAGAGATAGGATACAAAAATTCCTTAAAAGTTAGGATACTTGCGACAACGAGAGGACAGTTGAATGCATAAACTAATAAATGCATACATAGGCATGTTAACCGTTGGTCCCAAATATGTTAAAACATTTAGCTTACAACTTCACGGCTTCACAAAAAGAATAAGACTTTGTAATTCGATGTTCTATAAACTAGCTATACATATCTAAACTTATCAGAGTTTTGAACAAATCAGTGTTCCCACTAAAGTATGGTCCTAAAAGATAAAATGAAAGTAAACAAATATTTAGATGTAATATAAATGAAGTAGTGAATGAAAATTGTTCAACACAAGTTCAAGAAGCGCCCGACATGTTTTAGAAGTGTCCAAGGAAATGTCAACACACGTATCTCTAGTAAGTTAGACATGTGCATGAATTTAAAGTAGAAGTACTCATGCTAAATAGGTTGATCAAATGGAAGATTTTCAATGCACAGCACATCATGTACCCGTAACAATCTCTTTCAAAGTATCCAATACAAATTTCAACTAATATAAAATATGTAGGGTTAATTGATCGAAACATCATCTTATATTCAAGATAAAATCAATAAATTAGGTCATGCTCATAATTGTAGACGGAAACAAACAGGAACTCAAAACTTCAAACTAATTTCTTAAAACATTATACCAACCTTGTTCCACTCCAAGAACAGTGGCAGTTAGGAAACGTGAATTTGGGCGACCCCTTACATTAGGCTGCCGTAGATAAGCATGCACACCTTCTTTTTCAGCTTCAGCCCGCAATCGCCTTGCCTCCTCCATCAATAAGGCAGCAAGGCGGTTCTCCGTCTCCAAATCCATATATAGTCTAATCACTAATCAATAAACTTCATATTAGCAAGAGTAAGCTTAAAGAATCATCAAAATAGGTCAAACTAGAAAAACCCACATTTTCAAATCCAACCCTGGAATAGAAAAAGCACCTGACAAGAAATTATGACAGACTTGAACGAATAAAACATAGCAAAAGACATGAAATGGGTACTACGATACAAATTTTTTTCGAAAAAGAATTCATATATAATGCTAGGCATAACTAGGAAATAACTAAATGCAATTCTTCAATTTTTTTCGAAAAAGAATTCATATATAATGCTAGGCATAACTAGGAAATAACTAAATGCAATTCTTCAAATAAACACCAACTAATTCAGAGAGCATTACAACTAAAACGCCACGGCCAGAAACTCTTCTTCATATAGATTCCATTTCTTCTTCATCAAGTTCTCCCCCCACAATTCAAATTAAAACGTCTATAGTAATAATCCCAACTCAAAACATTCAGCCAAAAAAAAAGGAAAGAAAGAAAAAGAACTGTCAATAATCTCCAAAATATGGCATAGCTGCAATCTTTTAGCTATAAAATACGATAACTAAAAGCAGAGCACAGCAATTAAAACTCCAAGGTTCTTGATATAATTAAAGTTTTTCTCCCATACTTCCAACTGGAAACTGATAAAGATATAACCTTTGGCCCTAACTTCGTCAGGAAAAAAATTTCCATAATCATACATATAATTGAATGAATCTAGCGAATAACAACAGAAAAAGATCAAAAATACATAATTTCTTCAAAGTTGAAGTGAAAGATTACCTCAAATCGAGCAAGTAACTGACGATGGAGGAGGAGATTGGATCTCTTGCTCGTCCTCGATGGAGTCTTTTGACAAATTGGGGAAGAATTAGGGTTTTCGACGACGAGGAAGGAGGGTATCAAATCTCCCGTAGACGCCGTCGCCGGATTTTATGTAGAATTGGGAAGAAAATCTAGTGTTTTTTTTCGGTCGTCGGTTTGATTTTCTAATGGGTTCTGCTATTCGGCGAATCGCGTTCTTTGGGATCTCGCTTTTCGGCCTGGGGGTTTCGGGTCTAGGTAAATGTGCGACCCGTTCATGGGTCACGATAATTTGTAGGGCGTGTTTGGTAATCAAGGTGATTTTCTTGTTGTGTTTTTGTAGAAAAACACAATGTCATGGTGTTTTTTTTTCAAAAGTGTTTTGAAAACACCATTTTGAAAGTTATTGGTCAAACTTTGACCATTTATACAGCACACGATACCAATCAACAAGCATTAGTCACACTCAACCTAGTTTGACCGTTGCCACTCCTTTGCTGCCGGCCACCTACCGGCAGTCAGTCATCACC